AGAAACATTAAAGAACTTTTATAAGAAAAAAAAGTGCAGACAGATTTGGACAAGAAAGTCTGTTGGTTAAAAGGTTAAGAGAAGAAGTAGTGTTATAAAAAAATGGTTTTACTTATTATTATTGGTGGGTATGTCATGCATACTACTGAATATAATTAATTTCTTTTAGTTGATTTAATATTTAAGTTTGAATTTGTCCTTTTGTTTTTATAATGGTTCTTTTGTTTTTATCTAACTATAGAGGGCAGCATTACATATTGTATTTTACGATTTGGAGCACAAGAAATGTATCACAATTGTGGAAACTCTATATTCATTATCAACAAGTATAATAGTTTTATACCTCTGACAAATCAGACTACAAAACTATGAAATACTAAAAAAAGTCTTACAAATTTAATAAATACAACCATCACGTTTATACAGACAATGAATTCAGTATTTTTAAACATTAAATTACTAGCCATCCACAATAATTGTGCTGTGTGCTGTGACCATAGGTAATACTATGCTAAGATGCAGAAAAAAAGTTATTTCAAAGAATTGTCATTAAAATTAAATTTTTTTTATTTTTCAAGAAAATTGACTTTCTCTTTTTTTTTTTTTCAATTTCTGAAAAGGTGTCTAAGAGAATGCGACACACAAAATTAAAATTGGTATGAAAAAAAAATTGTCTGGGGCTAAAATTACATCATTGATAGTAACAGCATAGTTAGATGTTGCGACCTGAATTAAAGTTCATAATGCCAGCAGCAAAAAGTATGTTACTTACCGGTGAAAAGAGTTATTTTGTGCACTAACAAAACACAATGGATGACTTTCAATAGTATGCTTTAATGTGTTTTTATTTTCTAGCAAAAAGGAATACCATAGCGAGCATGGTCAATTGTTCAGACAAAAAACAGCAGTGTTTTAATCTTGCAAGAAAGTGTTAAGATACAAGTACGGATACCATCTTATTGGCAGGGTATAGTTCCTGGCATTTCAGAGCAATGTCTGATTTTATGAGTTGATCTTTACACGACATCTTGATTTTAAGGCAAGGCATGATATCACTGGTTTACATATTCATACATTGGGCCCTGAACATGCATAATCTTGAAAATGTAAATAATGATTAAATATACAGTTTCAGGTCAAAATAAGGTTGAAATACTTTCTGAAAAAAGTGTTATATATTATTTTTAGACAACAATTTCTTTGATAATTTTGAACCAATCAAACAATAGCTACTGTACTTATATCAAATATTTAAAAAAAAAAATATGAAACAAACGTTGACTTTGTTATAAAAAGGGTTGAATGAAAAGTCTTACCTCACAGTAAAACTTGAAATGACAAAATAATATCAATTAGTTTCTTGTGTTCATATAGATTAGATAACTGAATGATGCATGGAACAAACAGCCCAGGAACATGAATAAATATAAAACATAGCAAAAATTTGGGTAAGGCCAGACTTTTATTATCCCTTGTTTCACGAACCCGCCAAATGAACAGGAGCCGAAAATGAAATAAAAATAAAATTTTATTTCAGCGTAATTTCTCGCGCCCGCCGACTTGTAAGTGCAAAAAATTGCTAAAAAAAACTTATTTTTATCTTCATTTTTTTTTCGCCTGCCGCATAACAACCCCAAGTTGCATTTTCGTGGAAGTATCATGATCAAAGTACCAAAGTCTTGTGCAGATGAGAAACAAGGTTATACATGGAATGAAATTTTATTTCATTTCTTCTCTCCGATCAATGATCTCACTTACAATTCTTTGAGAATCACACAAATCTAATGGAAAAAAATAATTAATTTTATTTATTTTTCGCCCTCCTCAAAAAAATTGCCTTATAAAAACTCAAGAAACAAGGAATAAAAAAAGTCTGGCCTAACAAACAATGTATCTTTAATACACGCATGGGACCCACATCAAACACGAGTGCTGTATTTTGAAAGATTCACAGATTTATTAGCTACTGCGAGGCAAACTTTGACAGATGAAAGTACCGATACAACTGCGGTATACTCTTTAATTTTGTTATTTCACTTTTATGTTGTTGTTTTTTTAAGTTATACTTTCATCGATTAAACACATAAACATATATCTACTCTATAAACATATAACAATACTCTGCTAAATAAACAGGTACCGAACCTTTGACATGATGCCATCCTGCATATCTCTTTTCTCAGTGACCTAAGGTGTCATTACTTGAAAAATATGGCATCCTTTATTGGGGTTACTTTGTGCCATTTTATTGGCGCAGCATATTGTCCATAGTTCGTGAAAAGAAAAGACAAAAGTGTGTTTTTTTTAAAGTTTGTACTTATTGTAATAGAAAAGATTTGAACAAAAAGTGGGATGGGCTAAGAGTGAGAGTCTGAAAAGCTTTTCACCAATTTTTGGGATGACATAAACCATGTAAAATCCTTTCAATTTCCTAAATTTATTATTTCATTCATATGGTGTTAAGAAAGACCAAATAAATAATGCTGAATACATGTTTTATAGTTTTTCCTTGAATAGTTTTTAAAGTACTAATAGAAAAGAGTTCATTTACTATCTTATGGCATTTGTCTTTTTTTGTTGTTGTTCAAAATGGCTGACCGCTATTGACTATTGCTAAGTAACTCCTTGACAACCACTGTGGGTTAAAGGTCAAAAACCTGAATAGATGTGCTGTTCACAACCAAATCCTTTAAGGGGTTGACACGTAGTAGACAATGAACACAATTTATCCCACTTAACAGATTGAAATCTTAGTTTGTTTATTTTTATACAAAATTCTCCATGGATACAAGAAATTAGGTCCTTGGATTCAAAATGGAGGCAACAAAAACAAAATTGAAAATATTTCTGTATTTAAAATCATCACCTGAAGCTGCTATATGCAGGAAATATAGTAAAAAAAATGATCTTTTTTTTTTCCTTTAAAAAACATAAAGTGGAATACCTCTATCTTAACAAACTAACATAGTCTTCATGACAAGTTTAATGAAAATATACAAGACTATCAACTCATGCATTAATGGGAAGTGGGAAAAATATTTCTAAAAATATTTTCATTAAAATTGAAAATAATAATTTCCAAAATATTATACATTGTCATCGATATATTTACTTTAACGTCCTATCTTTGGCATTTTATTCTGGTATAAGGATGAATAAGTGAAGCAGATTGCGACAGCAATGTGAAGAAACAGATGATCACTTCTTGCAAAAAAAATACTAAATTAAATCACCAAGAAACAATTTTATTCATGAGGTGTTCATAGTGAATGTTCCTAAAATCCAGATTTGAGGAAATAGGAAATATGTTTTTCAGCACAAAATTCTATATATCGGTAAAATAAAAATTCACTTGCTTTTTTTATAGCAGTAATTTTATTTTGAAAAAGAATACAGAAAAATAAAGCTCTGCAAATTTTGGTGGGAAAACGTCTTTTTCATCTGTTGTCTGTCTGTCTGTCTGTCTGTCCGTCTGTCTGTCTGTCTGTCTGTCTGTATGTCCGCAAATTACAAATTTAAATACCTACAGTAACAGTAAGCTCATTTTATTTGTTTATGAAATCAAAGACACAGCAGTAATGAAGTAAACTGCAATGTGAAATTGATGAATTTTTCTACAGCAAAGAATTGGGGAAAATTTGCAGCGTGCAAATAATAGTTACAGCTAGTCTATTGTTCAGACATAATAGTTAAAGCTAGTCAATGGTTCAGGCATAATAGTTATAGCTAGTCTATGGTGCTAAGCATGTTCAATGATGAAAAAAACACAAGTGATTTAAACTAAATATTATATATTTAAGCTTTCTACATCAAATAAATAAAGTCGTCAAAAGTTTATAGAGGACGGATTGACCCTGTATATTATGATATTAACTGCAAAAAATGTTGGCAAGAAAATGTGACTACCACGGTATAATAAAATAATATATTTATTTGTCCTATTATGTGTAATTTGGTAAAAGAATATAATTAGGCCATATCACCTAAGTTAGTTAGCAAAATGTTTTTAATGAAATCTAAATAACCAGTGATTATTTATTTTTGAGCTAAATAAGGAGTGTTAGCAGCTTTATGGAGCAAAAGTTGAAGATAATATCTATGATTTCAAAATTTAACAGTTCACAATATTACTGGAGTAACAGTTTTCCTTTAAAGGTTGTACAGTCTGAAAGGCAGATACTTCAATAATGGTACCATCAATAATTAAGACCAAAATACTGATTGTCAGAAGTGGATTTTCAGATATTGAACCTACTGTAAAATACTTTATTTTCGCTTGGAATTAATTTTCGTCATTTTTGCTAAAGAAATGATTCAGTGAAAATAAAATCCAGCGAATATACCTTTTTTCCTATCTTTTACATTCAACTCACCAAAAATCAGTGAAAAAAATTTCATACAAAACACCTAAAAAGTCTTTTCAGCTAAAATTAATTCCAGTGAAAATAAAGTATTTCACAGTATGTAGTTTTCCAGTGTAATTAAGTTGGCCATTTTAGTATGCAAACCCTGAATATTATATTTTTATATATTTTTATATACACTGACATTTTTTTCAAAAAGTGATGGTTAACATAGTTGGTACCCAACAAAAAACAAACCCTCTTAGATGTATCAATCTTAAAATCCTTTGCCACCTATGGTAAAGTTTTCACTTTTTTTTTCAGAATTTCACTATGTTTGAAAAAGAAATTTATGTCCTATATGAAAAGAAAAAAAACCTCTTGCGAGTAAAATAAATGGCAAGACAAAAAGCAAATTTCAATTTTAATGAAAATGGATGGAATCTTTGATTACAAATATAACTTTGAATTACATACAATTCAAAATTTTAGTGTTCTTTCTGAAAGAACTATTTTTTATATACAACTATTTACCATACACATAGGGAGCTATGCTAATTTATGCAAATAAGCAAACTAGCCATTATCACATGACATACTTATTTGCATAAATTATGTAAGAGAAAAACATAAAATAGTAGAAAATGGACATTTTCATTTATGTAGTTTGAATATAATACATGATTATTTGAATACAGCTTTTGCCAAGCAGTAAAATTCACAGGTAGACTAACCTGAAATAAAATTGTATCTACAAATATCATTAGCATGTCTTGTCCTGTCTTACTATAAACACAAATCTTTTTTTTTATAATAATAATAAACCTGACTCATATTTTTGAGGGAAAGAAACAATAAATATATATTTTCAACAATTTCCTTTCAATGTTTTTATTATCAGTCTAGCAAGGACCATTTTCCTGATTCATGATTATTAAAGTTCAATAAACACAAAGCACTGCATTTTCACATCTTTCCATTTTATTAAAAAATATAGTTTTCTGTCATACCAGAGTATAAAACTGTTTTAAAAAATAGCATACTTCAATTTAGCCAGAAATATCAGGCTGTGTTTGGTCAATTTCTCTCTGAAATTTGAAATTTTGGAACATCAGCCGAAAATTGCAAAACATTTGGCTGTTACCTGTTAACTCCAATGATCAGACTATTCCATTCTACAAATAAGGGGTACAGCTCATTCAGTTGCTATGCCAACAGCAGCCACTATATATTTTGAGAATATGCTAATAACAGATTGCACAGGAATGATGTGAAACCCCATAACAGTGATTGGTGTTCACAAGTGAAAGCAGTTGAAGTATGACACAGCAGTGATATGTTTGTTTTCGTCTCTCTCCTCCAGTTATGTTATCTCTCTCTCTCGCTCTATCACACTTTCATCACTCGCTCTGTCCCTGTCTCAAAGGCATATCTTCGGCCCATGCTCAGTAGTAGTAGCCATAGTCTGAAAAACAAACAGAATTTCCAAAATGTCAGTATTCCGAAATTGGGGGATTAAACACTAATTTTTTAATGCCTTGAGCAGAGCAGAGTTGTGTGAGTGGTTACCATGCCGACTAGGCCTTGGCAAGTGCAGAGGAGAGAGAGAATTGTACAGCTTACATATGTGTTGCATTTGGGACTGGAGTCCGGTCGTAGCTGTGTCATACAACAACCTGAATAACTATAAAATTTAGAAATTAGTAGCGACACACAAAATAAACAAACATCTTTCAACTTGTAAAAAACTATTTTGTTCAGATTCAAAACATCAGACAGCATTGAAATATTATTATAAAAATTATGATCATTTTGAGATAAGAATGGAAACATTGTAGATGATGAATTAAAACAAAAAAATGAGTGAGCTACAATGCTTTGTGAAACGCCGATACTATAGCTACATTTTTTTTTTAAATTTCAATTAAAAAATAGTTTCAGAAAATGAAATAAGAGTTTCCTGTGATCGCATATTTGTAATCGATGTGCATGATAACCAGAAAAATGAATACCTTTTTAGACCCTAATTATTAATTTTCTAACGGCATGCATGACACGAAATGAGTTAGCAGAAAACGTGCATTGAGAAAGACAGGAATAAAAACAGAAGGACGCAGATAAGAAATATTGAATGATACCGTTACTGAGACAGAGAAATGGAGCAAGGCTTTTTGGAAAAGCAGTTGACTTACTTGGTGCTTTCAAAGGTTCAACTTCTTGTGGTCCCGTAGGAGGCGGCGGAACTCGATTCCTATTATATGTGCAGCATAACAATAAACAGAAAAAAAAACAGACTTATAATTAAATGATGCCTACCTTGTGGTGGCGGAGCTCTACGCCTATATCAAGTGAAAAAAAGAAAGAAAGGTGAATTGATGCAAAAGCATGACATAACTTTTAACCCTTTGAAGCCTTTTTCCTTCCTAAATCTAGTTGTGGCATTTTGCAAATTTTTATGAATTTTTGTAAACTCAGAGAATTTGTGAAAAAGTGGACATCATTTTCATTTGTCCACGGGTCTTGATGAAAATTGTTTAAAAGCGAAAAAAAAATTGATTTTGTTAAATATGACATCAAAAGTTGACTTTGTTATTCAAAGGGTTAAAAGAGCTAATAATTGGCAAACCAAACACAAATACCAGGGGTTTCATTAAGAGCCGGCCGCCGGTCATATGGCCTGCTACAAGCCCAAATTGGCCGTCTACTTTCTGTTCTCCATTGGCCGCATACACCGGTCTCGATGCAGCGCTTCCCACTGCCAAGTCTTTTTTTTTTTTTTTTTTTGCATTTATGAAACCCCTGCAAATACATTTTTTTTATTTATCAAAAATTGCATTTTGTTTCAGCATTAGAAAAACTATGAAAAATATATCAAATACCCATTTTGAAAATGGCTGATATGTATAATTACGACAAGAGCAGCATGCAGAAGCTGAAAAGAAAGCTGAAATTGAGACAATATGTAATGAACAGTGAAGAAGAACAAAGCATTTTTTCAGGAGTAACACTCAACATAAATGTAGTGACTCTTAAATAAGAATATTGTTGCAGTTTGTTCAGTAATTTTTAATTATTATAAAAATTTAAACAATTTAATAATTTTCCCTCCAAAAATTGTGCATGTTTTTATGAATATACAAGTACAAAAATTTCTTTCTTAATTTTTACCAAATAAACACTATTTTTACATTCTCCACAGGTTTCAATCCAAATTATTGTGGGTTTATTTTAAAGAAAGACACCAAAATATGACTTTCGTGTTTCCATTGTTTCAGAGTGACAGCATTTTATCCATAGTCTATAATTCAAAATTAGAAATATACCTCACCATCCTGATACTTACGTGTCTAAAGGAGGTAATTGATACATGGGTGCTCCTCTTGGCATAGAATAGTGGTGATGATGTACCGATGGTGGTCGCCGGGACGACCCGCCAATTGATACTATTTGTGGTACTGATGTTTCTACAGGTGCTACAAGAGGAACTGACGCTGTCGATCCAAAACTATGCGACTTCGGTATACTGCTTAACATCATTTGTTGCATTATAATTTGGTGCATTTGCGCATTTTGCATCATCATCATTTCCATCATATCTGGAAAAATGAAAAAAAAAAATATTGTTAATTCATTGATTGAGAACCACTCAGATATTTTCTCATTCTACTTTGTGTACTCAGGTTCAAACTTTTCAGTTTGTAAATATGATATTGGATTACATTTGTGAAAATCATGTTGCCATTGCAAATGATTCAAGACACATTAATGCATTATAAATGTTGTAAAATTTAGTTGTGTTTGAGACTCACCAGCCTTGGTGTTCGTAGGCATTGCTGGCGGCGGAATTTGTTGAATAATTGCTTGTGGGTGCTGCTGAGGTGCTGGTAGCTGCTGAATTATTGTAGGCATCTGATTAGGTGCGCCCTGAGGTGGGTTTAAAGACTGCAAATAGAGGCCATTTTGTTGTTGTCGAGAGGGAGCCGGTTGCGCCTGTCGTACTGAGTCGTTTCTTATAACATGCTCTACTATCTGCCTCTGAGGCATGCTGTAAATATTTTGATTATCTGGAAGCGATCTTGGAGATGGGAGTGGAGTGAGGTGCCTTCTGTGGTAGTTGCCGCCGTAAGAACGGGGTCTGTGGTTCATATCTTCACTCTGCTCAGCCTGTAAATAATAAAACAAACAAACAAATGAATAAACTAAATATTAAACTATATATTTATTTCGTTCTTTCAATAATAGAGAGAGGGATGAATGATTAATGAAGAGATTAAGTTTGTCTTGCACATTATGAGGTTTGGAAGTGATTCAATGAAAAATCTTTCTATCACCATGGAAACCTAAATATGTAGAACCCATTATTAACTAGTATGGGTAATTTCAGACTTAATTGGTTCATTGGTTGTTATTCAGTGAGTTCGCTACAATGTATATTTTTTGAAAGATGTATCCTAATGTTAAAGTCAACTTTAGGTACTTTTCATAGAATAAACCTGACAAATATTTTGAATAATTTCCAAAAACTTTAATCAAGATCTTGAGCCAATGGGAAACTATGTCTACTTGGGATTATGGGAATATGCATTAAAATGAGCATACTGTTGCACCTTATTCGTGTGAGAAAAATGTCACTCACAATCAAATGATGAATTTTTAACATCAATAAATAAGAAATAGAACTTTGCGATGTCTTAATAAATTAATTTACCCCCCCCCCCCACACATTTGTTTCATGTCAGCATGTACATCAGTTCGAAAAAAGCTTGCAACTTTTTTTGTTTCTGAAAAATGGTTAATAAAAAAGGGAGACAGGGTCATAGAACCTCTCAGAACTGGAAACAAATCTGTTTTTTTAGCCTTCATAAGATGAAGTGTAAAAACATCCATATCTAGAAGTTAACAACATCAGAAAGACGTTGGGATGAGTTGATAGTATTAAAAGTATAATTTCCTCTTGAATTGATCAACACAACACAGCATTAGATGCATCTTATCAACTTATCTACAAGACAAGATCACTAGTAATTAGGAATTTTAACCATCTATTATGTTAACCTGGAGATTTGATCAGTTTGACCGTTGCCGTGACAATTTATCTTGGGGCATTTAAGGTTCTCAATTCAGTGCGATTGGAGCGTGATGAACTAATTAGAAATTACTGACCCAACTGCAAAATAGCGAGAAAATACTTGATTATCATGCATGACCGCTAATGGTGTCACATCCTGGTATTTAATTTAAATAAATTTAAATTTTAAATAGTTTCTTCATTAAATTGTTCACAAATATATTTGTTTTTTGTTTTTATGCTTTAAAATAGAATGATCTTCCAAGTTAACAGATTTGCATTCAATTCAGCAATACTATTTCTTTCCCAAAAAGACAAAATTAAATTGGTCAGTTTTTCAAATAAGAGTTTGGTTTGTTATGAAATGCATGGAAACAAGAAATGTATTTTTGTAAATATTTTGCCAGTCACATTTATCTGTTCTATTTTTAGAAATTTGAAAAATGATGTACTACTACTCATGTTAAACCACACAAAAAAAGGATTCTCAAGTGTTACCTTGTAGCTATTAAGTGTCTGGCACTAACTAATGGACAACTAATATCCTCAGATAAGTTGTCACATAACACTAAGAACATAAATCAGTCGTCATGGAAGTGCTACAGAATAATTGGGAGTTAATTAATTGGACATCAGTTCACGATCGTTAATGTGTTTGGTACTAAAAAGACTAAACACGGGATGTCAATTATGTTTCGTGTGTGCAACAAAATTTAGAAAAATTCTGAAGAACATGAAAATGAAACAAAATGAAAGTATTGTATTCAACTTATAATTGATTTCAATTTTGTGTTAGTATTTGTTGCCATGGTAATAGTTCGCTCCTAAGAAAAATCTACATTAATAATAAATTTCTCACTGAAAAATAGTTATGCAATATTTAATGCATTTTTAAAACTTAATTTATGTTGAATATAAAGATAAAATGAAGTTGAGATTTTTTTAGATTATTTGTTGTTATGTGGTTACTATGGTTACGAGTGGTTGAAAAGTTTGTGTCAAGATGCTTGATTTCTAGTCATGATTTTTTTTTCCCGTTTCTACCAAAATACCGATAAACTTAAAAAAAATTGCCAAAAAAAATGCACCGTTCCATTTTGATAAAGTCCTAGGACCAAAAGCGAAGCCTGTCATTTGTTTAGCCTTAGTATACATACATTTGTATGTTAAAATGAATGTGTTTGTTGTGGTGGTGAAAGATGCAATACCCACCCTTATTTGGTTTAGTAAGGCCTGCCTTCTGCTCAGAGCGTTCTGTAAATGTAACTGACTGCCTGCTCCTAGGAAAATAAAAAAAAACATAAAAATGTTGAAAAGTTAATTTTTCATTTTGTTTATGATAAGTTTATTCTTGGATTGAATAACAAAATTTCAGTATAAGCATTGGAGAAGTGAAATGTTGTAAAATCAAACAAACTGAAAACAAAATTTAACTTAAACAGAGAGGATAAAACAAAATATTATTTCATCGCATAACTTTCTTTAAGAGATTCATTTTCATGTCGCACATAATAATTGAAATTATTGATTGAGTTTTGTAAACAACCGTCACTAAGCGTTTATTTGATGGTTGTTTACTTATTAGTCAACATGTAAACAAAATGTAAACTAGATTAATCACAGAAAACTAAAACAAGCCTGACCAGTAGTAACCAAAAGTTGACAAAAAGAAGAATGTTGTGGGAGAAAAAATACACAATTCATTTTGCATCTCTAGTAAATGTTCTATTTGTCCACCATGGTTGAACGGTTAAGCTTGTCCGCCAAAAAGTTCCCTTTTTCACATAACAATCTAATAACAAAACTGCAGATTATTGTGACAAAATTTTAAATACTTACTTGGCTAGAAAAAAAAGGCTTAAAATAACAAATATTGCAAAAGTGTGAAACCCACGACAGAACTTATGTCTCAAAGTGCTGCTAACTTAAAATGTAGCAAATACAAGTGACGCAGCCATAGAGACCAAGTCACCTTGGAAACCCCATGAAAACATGTGACCCGAAAGCTCTGATTGGTTAACACAGTCTCAGATCAACAGGTGTTACTCTGTTATAAATCTGTCGAATATCAACGCTCGCTTGTTTTGCTCCATTGAAAAATTTGTTAGTGATTGGTAATGGAGAAGACTGTCGATTCTGAGTAAAAAGCAATAAAGAAACTAAATAAATAAAAAAAGGTGGAGAAGCAGGGTCCTACCAAATCACTTTGTAGAATGTGTCACACCTGTTTCTGGGCAAAAGCTGTTCCAGTGGAACTAACACATGATAAACAAATTCTTTTAAGCTTCAGTCTTGTCAACATGATAAGAGTCAAGTTCTGTCACCCATCGATGAATAGAAACTTGTATAATCATTGTACTTGGGCACTCTTTGAAAACTTTCCAAACTTTGTAATTTTTGAGCAACATTGGAATTCAGTTATGTTCGGTGTTTCTCTGTATAACAAAAGTTATTCAGGGCATCTTAAGGTTACAATTAAAAAGTTAGGCTTATCCGTTTAATGTTTTGACTCCATGGCAAAAGTTAGGCTTATCCGTTTAATGTTTTGACTCCATGGCAAAAGTTAGGCTTATCCGTTTAATGTTTTGACTCCATGGCAAAAGTTAGGCTTATCCGTTTAATGTTTTGACTCCATGGCAAAAGTTAGGCTTATCCGTTTAATGTTTTGACTCCATGGCAAAAGTTAGGCTTATCCGTTTAATGTTTTGACTCCATGGCAAAAGTTTCTTCAGTGAATAACTTTTCATCAAAGTCATTCACAGAAAATGGAGCTTTATATTGATCTGACAGCAAAGACTTACCGTGTGCTCTCCGCCGACCCATTATAATGAAGGTGACATCGCTTGTTTTATAAAGCCTAGCTCACATTTTAGCCAATACCTGTGATCACTTTCTACACTGTGGTTGAGGGACAATTGCATTAAAAACATGTAATGAGGTATTCCAGTGTCAATGAGAAGCAATTTCGGTAAGCAATTCAAAATGAATGTCTGTCTTTCGTAAGACAAGAAGTTGACGATAATATAACATTCATAGCAATAGAAAGCAATTTGTTACGTAGCTACATGTATCAAAACTTTTCAGTCACTTGCTTTTCAAGTGACACCTACAACAAAAATTCTTAAACAAGGTGAAACGTTACTCCCCTGTATATTGAGAAATTTGTTAAGCACTGTAAACGAACAAATCTGATAAAATAAAAAAAAGAACATTGGCTTTTGTTCAGCAAATTTGATCAACAAAAATTTCAGTCCTTACCTCGTAAATGTCATCTCAGACTCAACCGAATCATAAAAACAAATGAATTTCAAATAATTTTAAAACGATTCCAGTGAGAAAGATTCCCCGTCATGATAACGCTTCTTTAGTTGACTCGTGTGTTTCCCTAATGATCAAATACCAAGTAACTAGGCATGATAAAAGAAGTCCCACATAATGGGTATTCAAATTAGGAATTTGCTCTACAAGCTCCAGTCTTTGTTGGCATGGTAAACAATGAATGTTGCTTTTTGTCATATCAAATCACGTTCACAATTGAAAGGGTGTGGAGGCTTGAGTGACTCTCAATGGAACACAATTTAGTAAATATAAGTGGCACACTATAAAACAAGAGAAAAATCACTCCACAAAGCATATTTAACTTCTTAAATGCCAGATTTTTTCCCGCCCAAAAAGTCAGTGCAAATATTGTCACATGTAACATTTTCAGTACATTTCATAACTAATTTAGGCCATATAGACAGTTTCAGATATTGCTTTTCACTTTTTGATAAAAGGTTGGTCAATTTTTATTAACATTTCATGTGGGGCAAGAGCAGACTATACAAAATCAATTTGTAGTTGATGCCAAAAGTTGACAATGATGCTCAAAAAGTTAACATTCGTAGACAAATAAGAAGTTAACGTAAAAAGGATCACTGTTGTTTGTTGAATGTATGACGGATCTTAAGCAAAGACGAAAGAGACAATTAACGCTTTTGAAATATTTGGCATCCATTGTGATTGTACACTAGGATTAGATGTTCAACTATTTAAAAAGGTTATCAGGTGATCGTAACTCAATACCTCGGGATAACAGTTATCCTTAGGTTGTTATATTTCATGGTCATCAAGAAGCCGCAGCGGTCTTATTTCTCATTCGCTGAAACAGATTTCTGATACAGAAATAAAAATAAAAAAATCGCTATTTTTTTTAAATTGCTGTGTATTGGATTTACACATCACAGTATGACATTTATTTTGACTTCAATTGAAACAAGTATTTCGAAATTTATGAGAAATAATCTTAAACTCTATAAAAATGGAAATATTAAAAAGGTTTAATTTTGGATGTTTTGATACTTCAAAGATATCAATAAGGTTTCAAATTCACTGGTGTGTGAAAGAAACAATAAATTCTATTGTAACAAATGAATATCTCTGATTCTTAATTTAGAATACTGTAAAATCTGTATTAGAAGCCGCGGCTTCTATTAAAATGGTACAATGCAACAGAGGGGATGCGGCTTCTATTAAAGCATGTACTCATATGAGAAATGATGAATTTTTTATTCTAAATTATTCAAAAAGAATGGGTGCGACTTCTATTAGGGATGCGGCTTCTAATACAGATTTTACGGTAATAGCTATCAGCTGAATAAGTGAAAATAAAACCAGCGAATGAATACGCGTAAGGCCTAGACAGTACTCTATCAATTTAATTTATAACGAAAAAGTTTTGTAAGTCAGATAACATCTTGTAGATCCTTGTATCAAAAATTGAAAAATATCATCAACAGAAACCAAATTTCCTGCCATATTTGGCACAATTTTTTTTTTATTTTCTATATTTCATATCAACTCATGTTGTTACTGATCATGATTATTACTTTTTTAAAAATGCTGCAATTCCGGTTACACTCTGCAAAAGTAAACAACAGCGGACAAAGCTGATGACAAAGTCAAGCAATAAGGAATGACATAGCAATAATATAGCTCAGGTAGACATGTTTCATGGCATTCATAATAAAGGCAACAAACCTCTTTTAATATGTCAAGTGTGATTAAAAGCAAGTACATCTGTTAAGCTGGAGAGTACAACTAAGTTGTCAGCATCATGACATTTTCATTCAAATTGGACTGTTAGCCCACTGGCGGATTAGACCTATGTATTGTTCAAGTTCGTTCAAGTTTATGGTTAAATCCCTCACACCCTGAAATGACCCCAATAAATCTACTCAGGAATCTTTTTGTCCTCCATTGAAATTTTTTGCCCTGAATTCAAAATTAGGCTGGCTAAACAAACTTGGGACTTCTGAAGATTAAAGTATTTTCACAGTAACTGAACCAGAAAATACAGCTCGGTATGTTGTGAGTCATGCTACGTCTTATCACGTAAAATACAGCTCGGTATGTTGTGAGTCATGCTACGTCTTATCACGTAAAATACAGCTCGGTATGTTGTGAGTCATGCTACGTCTTATCACGTAAAATACAGCTCGGTATGTTGTAACTCATGCTACGTCTTATCACGTAAAATACAGCTCGGTATGTTGTGAGTCATGCTACGTCTTATCACGTAAAATACAGCTCGGTATGTTGTGACTCATGCTACGTCTTATTACGTAAAATATAGCTCGGTATGTTGTGGCTCATGCTACGTCTTATCACGTAAAATACAGCTCGGTATGTTGTGAGTCATGCTACGTCTTATCACGTAAAATACAGCTCGGTATGTTGTGAGTCATGCTACGTCTTATCACGTAAAATACAGCTCGGTATGTTGTGACTCATG